TTTATGTTCATCAGACTTAAGAACATGCACACATTCCCCAAAGGAGGAAGGGTCACTATGACCATTTGCAGCAAAGCTCACTAAAATGCATACTAAAAAAATCATGGCTATCAATAACAGTTTTCTAAGCTAATTCTGGTTGCAGTAACTATGTCACTCCTACAGATTCTGTTGCAAGATGACATTAAGCCTATTTCTGATTGAAGCACTTGGATGCTCTTAGGAAATCCCTACTTTCAAGCTGTATTTGAGAGGAATTACAACTTCTATACAACTAGCACATAACAACATTCCCTCTCTCATAACATGTATGAAGACAGAAGAGAGGACAACACTGTAGACACAAGCCATGATTTAAAATGCATCATAAAACTGAGCATAAATACAGGTTCCCAGAGAACAGGACAAGGCTTCTTTAGATTGCCATTCATTTAGCATTAAGTCATCATCAGATTTTTTTTTCCTTTTTTTTTTTCTTGGACTAATTTTTAGTTTGCAAGCAAAACTAAGCACAAAAGCAATCTGGCATTGCAGCTTGTGACCCAACAGGCAAAAAACCAGAGCCACACACATGCCAGTTAAACACTTACTGTGTACCTATTCCAGTTTTGACTTTCTGCCTCGGATCATGCAAAAGAGCTCAAACATTTATCAAACCCCTGGGATTTTTTTCTCCTAGTCTGCATACCTGCCAATTACCTACCCAAATGATTCTAGCTTTTAGCCTTCCTGAAAAAAAAATCCACAATGTCCATCTAGACCTTCTACCAAAGGGCTTTTGGTTTCTTTTTCTGTTTGTTTTGCTGCAGCAATTGCCCATTTCTGAAAATACAATACAAAAATAGAAAAGTCTATACTACGGTCCAGGTCCCCTTAGGAAAATATAGAGAAGTAAATAAAACAGATATGCTGGGACTTGGTTTTGGGAAGAGATGTCATCTTTTCTAGGAAGGAAAGAAACATTTTTGGACTTCTGATGCTGCAAGGATTAGTTTGCAAACAGTTTTTCTTGATCCACAGTCACTTTTGGCCTCACACACACTAAGACACACAAATTCCACAAATACTCCTGCTAACCAAGAGCCTGCAAACTATGGAAAGCAAAGAAAAACTTTCTCTATTTCAAAAAAGATTTTTTTTGTTTACATAACACAAATTCTTCCATACAATAACTTCTGAGATGAAGAGACTGAAAAAAAAATATAAAAGAAAGCCAGAAGGAATTTCTGCATCCCTCAGAAAAACATGGATGGGTTGTCTTATGTTGAGTGGCTCTGAAAGTGTATGAGGACTGAATGCCCTAGCACTAGAGCTTATCTCACAAAATGTCCAGCTGTTATTTACTCAGAGTTTTATTTCATCTTAAAGCTAAGATGTAGAAAATAAGATAGAATATCAAGGCCTTAGGGTAGGATGAAACCTTAGTCTGAGATAAGAGAATCAGTCTCAGAAAAACAAAACCTCCAAACATCAATATTATTTGGTCTGGGGTTCCTGCAAGTTCTGGTTGGGGGATGTAGGAGAAATCCTCACCAAAGCTTTGAAACTGATTCATTTCAAGTTTGTGCAGCACCTCCCATCAATTTCATGAGACAGTGAAACATCACTGTTTTATAAAAAGTCCCCTTAGAACAATCCACTGTGATCCTCAATCTTCCTCAAAAATAATAAACAAGCTTTTTGTGTTGATGCAGCTCTGTGGAAACAAACACAATTAGACCTCATTCTAAAATGAGCAGCAGGATGTGATGAATCAATTATTCCCCAGGAATTCAGGGCTATCAGAAGTCTGAGATCAGACATGGTAGTCTATACAGACTTATTTTTATCAGAAAATCCTGATAAAAATAAGCACAGAAAAGCCACATTGAGCTTCTACTGTACACTGAAACAGATTCCTCCCCTTCCCCACCTCATTTCTTTATGTTAAGCTGTTTTACATCACAATTTGAAGTGTTCTTATTACTCCTTCACTGGAATTTTATTAATTCCTGTGGGCTGGATTAAAAGCATGCACAGAATAGCCCTTCACAGGTTAGAGTCAACATGGAGCATTTCTGGGGGTGGCATAATGTGAAAGCTTGTCAGCTCTTGGGCTGTAAATCCCAGGCCACTGAAGCGACACACGGTGCTCCCAAAGCCATCTGTGGTGTGTGCTCTCAGTGAATCCCCCAGCAGCAGAACAACCCCACAGCTGGGCAGGAGCAGTGTCCCCTCTGTCCCAGAGCCTGGCAGCACAGCAACCCCACAGCTGGGCAGGAGCAGTGTCCCCTCTGTCCCAGAGCCTGGCAGCAGAGCAATCCCAAGGCTCCAGCAGGGCTCCCCTCTGTCCTGCTCTGTTTTTCCCTGCCTGCTGATGCTCCATGAGAGAGAACCTGAGCTGAAGGTTATCTCATCATATAGCAGAGGTGGCCTTTGAGTCCTAGTAAAATAGCTGTATTGTACTTGGATATCTGTATAACTGTTAACTCTAAGCAGGATATGTAAATATCTCTATGTAAAACCTGGTTCTGGAAGTTAAAGAAAAGGGGAAAATATAGTAGAGGTGGCCTTTGAGTCCTAGTAAAATATCTGTGTTGTACTTTAATATTTGTATATAGGCCTTGCCCCAGTAAGTCCCAGTTGTTCTTGATGGGCTGCAGCTGTGGCTAGTGAAGATAACTGGGATAAAAGGGGGTGGGTTGGCTCAGTTAGGGAGAGCCTTGGAGGAGCCCTGACTCAGAAGCAACAACATGCAGAAGAAGGAGTCTGTGCTGTGAAGGTCTGCAGCCATAAGACAACACTGAGGAGGTATGGGACTTTAGAAATATGATAGCAACAGTATGGGACTCTAGAAATATAATTACAGCATCATCACACATGTTCTGTACAGCATCACTGACACTGCCTCATTCCCAATCCAGGCATGCCTAGCCAGACCTCTGCTACCCACAGAACAATCCACTGCTTCTTGCAAGGACACAAGTGCCAGCTCTGCAATCCTCACAGCAGCACGAGCCAGCTTGGAATTTCTAGGATTAATTCCTTTTTCCACATCTTGTTGTGCAACTCAGTAGCACAGATTTTCCTTACAGACTTGGTGATGAATCTCACTAGAAAGGAACATTTTAAGAACCAACCCTGGCCTGGGTTTGGGCTGTTTTTCCTTCTCAGTGTTGTCACTAGATGAGGTTTGAGCAGGCAATAATAAGTGATTTGTTGAAGTGTGATTTAATTAGAACAGCACAGATGTTTTCATTCATTTGTCCTATCTTCCAGTAATGTGCATTTCTCCTCTTCCATTGCAGGTTAAAATACTTCATGGCACTAATATGACCTGCACTTCCCTGTACCTGATGTCTCTCACCAATTCCCCTTTTAAACAGCCAAAACCAAGACAGCTTCATTGTCAGAAATTGCTTCATGAAGGCCAGAAATTGTTCTTTCTCAATTGCACACTTCACACTCCTGGAATACAGGTGCAGCTTTCTTAGCAACTGATTATCCCAGTCAGCATTGCAATTCTGTGCCCATAAAGTATTAAACACAGGCCTGACCCAGCTTGCCAAACACAAAAGTAATACATTTCCAAACTCAGAACTGTATCTGGTGCTTCTATCAGCTGTCACACTGCCAAGCAACAACACCAGAGCACCTTGTATTTTTCCACTTTATTAAAGACAAGTGAGAGGCAGCTTCTTGCAACCACAGATAACTGTGATCTTCATTATTTCAATTAAAACCTATCAGAGAGTCCTTTTTCTCCATGGGGATGAAAAATAATATAAAGTGTTAGACAGAATAATTAAAACTCTGGACGTCATTCCCCAAGAGCTCCTGTGCTCCTCTCTGAGGTTGCAGAGCTGGATCCATCACATGTAGGTAGGTTTGTCCTTGCTGTTTCTTTCAGGTCTCATCTCTGTGCACTCACTTATCAACTAAGGCAGCAAAGAGAGTTTTAGTTTGGGTTGGTTGGGTTGGGTTTTTTAATGGTTGTGTTTGGGGGTTTTTTGGTGTGGTTTGTTTTGGGGGTTTTTTTCTCTTGATGATACCAAACCCCTCAAGTTCTGAGGCTCTCAAGGTTTTGATAGGGGGTTGAATCAAACTTTGCTCTTTCTTTAGGTGTTAATCAGTAGCTATGGCTGGATGGCTATGATTAGGCAATTGCATTGTGAGCATCATATGTTTGGCTAATCTGCTGTTTTAAGAAAAAGAGAAGGGAATCCCCAAATGAATGGGCTGTCTGGATGAGAGGCACCAGGAGTGAAGTCAGAACTGAGCAGTACTTGGAGAAAGGTGATTCTGGCAGTAGGAGATTGAGGCAACTCATTGACCATCTACTCAAAATGGGCCCCAGACCCAAATGGAGGAAGAACTGTGCCTGCAGACTGATGAGCAGGAGAAGCAAGAGATGAACTAGCAAATAGGGGAGTTGGGTAATCTGTAACCAAGGAATGTTGATGCCTTTTTTTATTGAGTTGTATAAAGAGTGTGAAGTTTGGATGATTGGTAAATTAACTTTCCGTGGGTCACCACTCAGCTTCTCACTCTGCACAAACGAGAATAAAAAACAGGAATACCTGGCCTCAGCATGTGACTTGGCTCTGGCACCAGGTAATGAACCCATGTTGATGCCAAATTTGAACCATCATCTCGCCTATCCCAGCTCTGGGCCAGCCTGCAATCCTGTCAATTTCTGGCCACAGGGCAGTCCCAGATCCGTCACAACAGCAGCACCTCCAGCCCCGCGGCCCACAAGGGCATTTCCAGCGGGACGCCGGAAGGGTTTGTCCCGCACCCGGGAACAAATTTTCCCTCATTTTCGCCCTCAGTTTGAGCGCAGGGATTACCCAAAGGCAGACAAGCCCCGGACGGGAGCGCTCCGCCCCGGCCAACCCACCCCGGGCCGAGCCAGGGACCGCCCCTGACCTTCCCAACATGGCGGCGACGAGCCGGCCGCCCTCAGCAGCACTGTCGCGATAGCGCCGCGCCTCCGCCGCGCTTTACGGCAAGGCCGCCCGGCGGGGAGGGAGGCGGTGGCGGGGCCGGTCCCGCCATGGACCGCAGGAAGAAACCGCTGGACGTGGCCGCGTCCTCGGTGAGTGACTGAGCGGGGAGAGGCGAAACGAACTCCTCCGCCCGCCCAGGAGGCTTGTAGCGCTGTGAGGTGTGCTCAGCCGCGGGGCTCCCGCGGGCGGGGTGGGCCTGGCCGGCGCAGGCCGTGAGGCTCCACCGGGGACCCGCGGGTGCCGCCGCTTGCGGGGAGAGCGGCGCAGGGGAAGGGCCGGAGCTCTGTGTGCTCTCCTAACCCCGCTGCCGTGGGCAGTCACTGCGGCACATGCTGGGTTAAAGGGCTGTTCAAGGCCGTGTGCTGCATGTTGGGTCTGTGACAGTGTCGGGGCTGGGAGTTTGTCCCCTCACCTTCCTCAACAGGCACACGCCCTGCGCTCCGAACCCGAGTCTGCCCGGCCTGGGTTTGCTCGCATTCCTGGTGCAATTAAATTAAATTAGCCCATAACAAGGAACATAATTTTTCCTAAGGAGCAGAAGATCTGTGCTGTGGAAGATTAACTTCCCACCCTTAGGGATGGTGAGGTGCTGACCCTCGCTGTTCTCCAGGACGCTCACGAGAGCTCCCAGACACTTCAGATGAAGAGCTGTGTAAATAGTCAATTTATGCTAATAACTGTTAATGTTTCACAGTTAACTGTGAAATATTTTACATTGAATTTTTGGAGGATCACCTCTAAGCAGAAGGGAAAACGAGTGATTTTTAAGACACTGCACTTGGTTGTCCCAGCAACTTGAAAAGCCAATGCTTGGGACAAATATTGATACCAAAGTTTTGCACTTTTCTGGTTTAATGGGCAGCTCTGAATTTTTACATCTGTAGGACTTGCAGGAAAAAGTAGGAAAATACCCTCTTACAAACTAGCTTTGTAAAGATAACACCCCTGCTGATGAGTTCCTTAATAAAAGCTGAGGTGGACCTTGGTCACAGATGGCAATGCTACTCATATGTTTATTTAAAAAGAAGGAGAAAAAAAATCCAAAACTATTAAACAGTGCATAAAGCAGTGGGGAAAATATATGTTTTACTATAGCAAATTTTTATCAGTTATTTTCTGAGACAGGATTTTATTTATTATCTAATGGTTAAAAGTTCCCTTTTCATATTCAGTAGTGTTTTTCATTGCTCCTTCTCTATTTGTTTGTCATTAGGAGGCTGATAAAATCTAGACAGAGCTGTGCCTCTGTTATCCTCATTATGTAGCAAAGGATCAAGGCTATCTTTGGGGATTGTTTTAATCCCTAATCATAATTTGCATTCTGTGGTTTTTTATTTTGTTTGCTGTAAGAGGTGGTCTTGGTGTTCAGATCGGTGCTTCCACATAAAAATGCAATCAAATGCTCCTATAAGTGTAACTAGCAGGTTGTTTTCCTAGAGTTACAGATATTTATTGCAGTAACTGATGTCTGTCATCTGTTATTTATGTGTTGTTTTGCTGCTGGTGTAGTTGGTGGATCTCAAAGCTGAACTTTTCCGAAAGCAAGAGGAGTTCAAGAAAGAAAAGCTGTTGAAAGATGCTGGTGTCTTTGCAAAGCCCAGAACCTCTAATAAGGTAAAATTAATCTTCATTGTTGGTTTTGCCATTCTTTCTCCTGAAAGTAAGGAAGTTAATATTCAAATCTAAATAATAGTAAATACTCAGCTGTGTTTCTAGTCAAATATAAAATGTACATGATGAGAACATTCTTTAAAGTTCATTTCTAGGTGAAATTCCTGTGCAGAAAGCTTAGTATTGTGCCCATCTAAATCCCCACTTAATCTTCATTCCCCAATGATCTACACCCTTTAATTATAGGAAAAGATGTTTCTTTTTTTATTGGAGGATGTTGTATGATGCTGCAGGATGGAGGATGAGAGATTCTTCTAGACTCACTGAATTTCCTTGATAAATGCTCTGCTATCTGTTTGTGGTGCACAATAATGAATACAATGTACACAATTATCTCTCTTGTTTTGCTCAATACTGCACTTTGGCTTTTGTTCATTCTGTAGCTTTCTAGAAGCAGAATGTGCTGTTCCTGCCATATTTGAAGCGCATGCAGCATTTAGAGTGTTATGCTGCAAACAGGCCACCTGATTGTATTTTCTATCTAAAATGGAGGCAATAGAGAATAGAAACATTTTTTAGCTTTATTAGTATTTATTCAAGTGCATCATTTACATTATAGAGTTGAAATTTTTTTTTAATTGTTACCATTTCAATATTTTCATCTATTTATTTGTTGTTAAAAAATTGTCCTCTGCAGAAACCCAGTATCTGGACCAAGCAGAACACGGGAGTTGTAAATCGAGCTGCGAAGGACGTTGAGCAGAAGGCAGAAGAGCAGGATATATTGGATAAATCAAGGTAGCTCTTAGGCTCTGTAAGAAAGGAATGCTTTGCAGAATTTGTTCTTTGGTATTTAGAAAAGCACAGAAAGAAGTTTTTTAGACCAGCAGTTCTCATTAGACCAGGCAGTAATTCCAGTATCATCCATACTTTTTACCAGTAGTGTACAAACTGCATCCCAGCAGTCTCATGCTCCCATGACCTCACAGCTGTCTAAATTATCACAGCTGTCAGGGTACTGATTTTTTTTTTTAATCATCTTTAGAATTACCAGCCAGTGCAGTGCAATGTTAGAATTCTGTAGCAAAGTGTTTCTTGGGCTTGACAGAAAATAGCTTACATTTTCAAGAATTACCTCATTTTCTAAATGAGTTGGTTGAACAAAAAGATATATGTGGAAAATGCCATTTATAAATAATTTGCTGTGGTTCTATAAGCAGTTCCGTGCTCTTTGAAATTCCAAAACTTAGCTAAGGTTTTCTCTTTAGTTTCTAAGATTAGGTGTAACTTTGTGTTATCTCTTTTTTTTTCCTGTAAAACTGTCTTTCAGTGTCTGCAAATAATGGTTTCATTTCCAGTATTTATCTGACAGACCACAGTACTTAGATAAAGGTGGAATTCTTGTAACAGCATGTTTCTGCCTACTTGACAAATTACATTTGAGAATAAATTTGTAACTTCACTGAAATTATTTTCAGTATAAATTCTGGAACTGGAAAATATTGTATCTTTAGAAATGCTAGTGAAGGTTCAAAACAAAAGCCAGGCATAAGTCAGCTTCTAATGAACACCTCAGGCAGTCCCATGATTTTCCTATTCCATTTATCTAAACCTAAATAGGTCACTTTAAAATGTGCTTGGAATTGGTGGGATTGCAAGGTTCACTTTTTTTTTTTTTTCAGGAAGAAGCTTGAAGAGAAAGCAAAGCTGTATGAGAAAATGACAAAAGGAGACTTCCCAGGTGAGCAATACTATTGCAAAATAAGCATTTATATATGTATAAATTTTTGGAATTATTATAGAAACTGATTGACATGGTTTATTCCACTTTTAAAAGGAAAAAATATATATTTACTGGAGAAAATAAAATTACTTTTGAAGGGCAGCCTGACCAGGTAAAGCACTGGAGGCTTGTTTCACTCATTCATTAAGTGGGTGAACTATGTTCTGGTTTTTCAATACAGTATCTTAGAAAGACAAAAAAATTTGTTCTCTATTGTGCAATCTTTGGATTGCATTGCTGATGCTCTGTCCTGCATTCTGATTGTTGGGCCTTTATGAGGAGGAGAAGATCAGGAGAGGAGTCTGGCTGGTCCATATCTGAATGCAGCTAATAGGGATAGAGAATGCTAATCTGTTCCTTTCTTCTCACACATTCAGTCCCTTTCAAAAAGTAATTATTAAAATAGAATACAAATCTCCGTGCAATTAATCTGTTCTCTTTATCAGCGTCCATCTTCATCCACATGACCCCACCACTTTCCTCTACTTTCCTAAAAAGTACCCTCATGAATGCTTGGCTCCTGCCAACATACCAAATGTTAAACATCAAAAAAGTATTTGAGCCTTGACAAATCCTTTGCTTATGAAACAGTTAACAAGCAAAGAGTGTTTTGCTGCAGAGAATGCAGCCTTTTCTGTACTGCACACAATGCCCTGAAACTTCGATTCAGAAATAGACGTTATCACTGTGGAGCCACTTGATAGCTCTGGGTTTGTTTGGCACTGAATGGGATTTAAATATTCCCCAATACTGTAGTCAAGGGCAGTGCTGGCAGCTGAAAAGCTGATTGTAGCTATTTGGTATTGATTTTGTGCTCAGTTCTGTTCTTTTCATGGCTGTTTGCTAAGAATCGATTTTCTGCCTTAGATGAAGAAACTGAGGATTTGTACCTGGTGGATTTCACTCAGAAGATCATAGACAAACAGCACGAAGTACAGGAGCTGCAGCAGAGTGAAGCTGCTGGGAGGACTTCAGAAAGAGACACAGATGAGGAGGAAACTCAGCCTGAAGCAGACATTCCACCACCAGAGGACCCGGATGAGGAATGGTTGGTGCTACTGATTAGGCTCATCTGCCCTGGCCACTCTTATTCTTGAGAAAATACTTTTCTTTTTTAAAATGTGTGAAGTGACGCCTTTGTTTTTCGTGTTTGTTTCATACTACACATTGACAAGGAGGTGTTAACATTCTTTCATTTCTCCTATAAAGACAGTACTCCATGACACTTTAATTTCCACCCACATAGGTAACACTGCAATAGAATTTACATCTAGGATCTTGAGAAATTGCAATGAAGGCAATGTACTAAAGGGGGACAACGTCATCTCCTCTCTTATTTTCTTGAATAGTTTATGCAAATAGTCGTCACAGTGTTTGGTGCCATTTTATGCTTTGATGTGCTGAATTGAAATGTATTTTAGCAAAACTTGAGGATTTCATGGTATTTATCTTCCTTTCTTTAATTGTGAGTGACTTAAAAATGAGCAGTCATTTAACTGTACAACCTTCTCTTAAAGGAGAGAAACTCTGGTTGGAATAAGAACACGATTTTCAGCATTTCTTCCAATTTGCTGCAGCACAGCAAATAGTCTCTGACAGTTTTCTGTGTCATTCCAAGTTACCACTATTTTTTCATCTGAGACATTAGGAATAATTATGAAACTAGTCCTGACTAAACATTTTCATTTCCCATTTGTTTAAAATGCTTGTGGAACAAGAGATTTTTCTTCTGATAATCAGTTTAAACCAGCAGTAACCAATACAAAACAGCACTCCCATTCTTCAAATACTAAAGTGTAGATATCCTTAGAAACTAAGTAAAGGACTTACTGAAAGCACAGATCTTGAAAAGTTTGGGGGTTGGGAGCTAGATTGCCAGTCATACTTTTTCAGATGTAATATTCTTTAGAATGGGATAATTGAGGCAGCTTGATGCTAAAGAGCTTTCCACATTACAGGACAGTAAGTGTAGCTCTTAACAGCTTTTTCAGCAACTATAAATCAGATGTTCAGTACTATAAAGGGTTGAATAAGAAGCACAATAGCTTCAGAGGAACATTTTGCTTGTGTTTTAGTCAGCCTTTGTTATGCCAATTGAATGCACACTATCAGTCTGTTCTGAATGGCCTTTAGACCAATAAATGAAATGTATTGTAGCAATTTCATATCCACAAGAAGCCAATGCTGCATCATTATCTTCACCATGGGAAGCAAACAGTAGGCTGAGTTCTGTTTTGTTGTGAAAACTACGTGACATGGTTACTTTTGAACATTTTGTACACCATTTCATTGCCCAAGTGAACAGGGGTCTCAAAGGGAGATGGAATAAATGTCTGGTAGAACTGTCATATGCCCCATTCAGAACTGTCCTCTTAGTCTGGGGGTGTGTTAAGTGAAAAGCAGGAGCAACTGTCACACACACATTGGGAGGTGACAAATGCTCTTTGGAGATCTCCTTTGGAATACTCCTTGGAAAGGGTTAATGCTTCTGTCTTCTGGGTAAGATTTCTGTTAATCTGCAAATAGAAGTTTTGCATCACTTTTCTTTTTCTTTCATTACAGGGTTGATTATGTTGATTTCTTGGGCCGATCTAGACGCTGCATGAAGAAGGATTTACCAAGTCTACTTAAAATGGATCAGGAACTTCAAGGGAAAAGGTGTGGTTTCTCTAATGGAGCTGCTTGTTCCTCTCAGTATTTAACATTTTTTTAAATGAGAAGGAAGAGAGGCTGAGCTTTGTCACTCCATTCTCAGTTCTGAATTGATGTTACTGCTTTCTCTAGATTTGCATAATTTGTAGAGAAAGGTTTTAAGCAATCTCAGGTATTTGTTGCATCTTTTAAAAACTGGGGTCTTTGTATTTCCTTATACCTTCCATAAAATGCCAGGAAAGTGATTCCAGTTCTGTTTAATGTGGAAATTGATGATAGTCTTTTAGCAATTCCAAATTCTTCATGATGTTCAAAGTGAATTTGTTAGACCTCCATTTGTTTAGTTTTGTTCTTCTGTTAAACAGCTGTTTAACAACTCTTTTGTTAAAATTACTTCCATACTAATATTTGGGTATTGATATTTGAATATTAATATTTTGAGTCAATCTTTTGGGTAAAGCATTGTTTTGTTACTTTAAATATCTTTCATTTTCTTACATTAAATCTGAAATGGTCCTATATATGAATGCTAGAATTCCCACAGATGCTAATAACTGATTGTTTCTTCTCCCATTTTGTGATTTGATAATCATTTCATAAATCTTCTGAGAAATAATAATATTTTGTCTTTTAATAACCATGTTCTACTTGTTTTAGAGGCAGCTTTGTATTTCTATCTTGACCACATACCATAGTCATCAGCATTGTATCACTAAGTAGTGTCTACAGTGATCTGTGTTTTGTGGAAACTGCAATAGTGGATCAGACTAAATCATACTTGCACTGTTTGGTACTGACAAACTGGTAAATTCTGCTCTGTAATCCTTAATTTGTTTTAATTAGACAAGAACCTGATGGGAATACTCTGTTATCTGAAGACATGAGAAGAGAACTTCAGAGGCAGCAGTGGGAAAAGGAAGAGGAAGAAGCACTCAGAAAACCCATGGGACCCATACATTATGAGGACATCCGAGAAAATGGTACAGTGCCATACTTTGTATCACTTACCTTTGTATCACCAAAGAAATCAGTTGTAGAGGGAGCAAGGGAAAGTTACTTCCTGTGCCTCTGTGGCAAAGTGTAGGTGTGTGTTAAGCCACATGGGTAATAACTGTTGAAAGTTACCAGTACGTAAGTCTAGATTTATTTTTTCTTCAAATTGTATTTTTCTCAAATGTTTCTCTACCTCCTTCTGTGTTCTCCTTCAAGAAGCTGCACTTTATGTATTATCTAAAGCAATCTAAAACCAATCCAGTGTTGGTAATAATTCCACACCTGAGAGCAGGGTGCCTGGAGGCTGTAATTACTGCCAACTATAAACTGAATTTAACTGAAATCTGTTGTTTTTCTCCTTGTCAGAGGCCAGGCAGCTCGGTGTTGGTTACTTTGCCTTTTCTCGGGACCAAGAGCTCAGGCATAAACAACGGGCAACTCTGGATATGCTGAGGGAGCAGGTATGAGAGGGAAGAGCAGACTGGGCTGCCAGGGCAGGGTGGTTTCAGTGGTTACTTCTTTGATTTGTTGTGTAAGTGATTAGGTGATGCCTGCAACTGAGTCCAAAGCAATTTGGCTTCTTTTTTCCTGTTGAAACCTGATGCTTGCTTAGGATTGCTTTTAGTTGTTTTGTGAAGGAAGATATGTACTTGTTTATAATAACAAAGGAAGAATAATTCGTGTTTTGTTTTGCTGTTAAGACACTTGATCAGAGAAATAAACGTGAGCAGCTGAAGGAGAAGAGGAAAGCAGCTCTAGATGCAAGGCTGTCCAAACTCCGAGCACGGAAGATTAAAAAGTTAAGGGAAGCTGGATTAGAGGAAGAGGCAGAAAAACTGGAGAATGGAGGTATGATCTGTTGCCTTTTTAAATTAAATACTTGCTATTTCACCTTGTTCTTGATCTGTGGACAGACAGATTCTAATTTATATTCATTTAGACATTCAATATATTGATATTGTGTATTCTGTATATACAATTAACATAACTGTTAGGATAATGAGAGCTGATGTAATTGTGTGTAGATATAAAATCATGCCAGAAATAGCTTAATAATGCAGGTAGAAATACAGTATGTAGATTGTAGCCTTTTTCTGATTCACACCTGAGAGCTGGAATTACATGGGTTGATTATGCAGGTTGAGGCTAGAGCTGCTGACATTGTACTGGCCTTTTCTTCTATGAAGATGAGGTAGAATAAGTAGTAACAAGGCATTTTGATATCATTCAATAATACACTGTGACAGTTTCAGTGCAGTGTGAGAGTTGGAGATACAGCTGACTCTAGGATTTAGGATAATGAATTTGAATTCTAATCCTGTGTCTGTGCTGTCTCTCTTACAACACTGATAGTCAACTTGTACTGTCTGTCTCCCACTGGAAAATGTAGCTGTCTCAGAATTCCTTGCAAGTGATTAACTGTGAAGTGTTCTGGAAATGAAGAACAGCATTGTGCCACTGCCCACTCTTATGGTTGTTCAGAAGAATAAGATGCAAATTGTTTTCTCCAGTAAATGAAATAGAGATACTGTTCTTATTGGAAATACATGGAAATAAATGTTCCTATTTTTACCTGTGAGTCATACAGATTTTATTCTGTAACTGACAATCTCTACTGTCTCTTCCTGTGACACAGAGGTGAAAGGTGCTGCTGAGGAACCAGAACCTCCAAGAGTTACTGCAGCAAGTAGGAAGGTGGAGGTCATCATCCAGGAGAGGAGAGACACAAAGCCTGGAGTGCCTTATGTCCGAGAGTGGGATAAAGGCAAAGGTAAGGAAATGTGGATTCAGGAGCATTGTTGGGAAAGAGCATGTACACTGCCAGTTCCATTTCTGTTTTGTGACCAAAGTATGGTGAGACTGAGAAGCACTGAAATCTTTTCTGCCTCATACTGATGACCTCCAGTGTCCAGGGCACTGACGAGGATGCCTTAATGCCAGTAGCTGCTGTAATGTCCCCAAAAGTTTTCTTCTATATGAGTTACTGCATTTCTAAATGATCTTGACAGGTTGACAGAATGACAAATTCTGTAGTTCAGAAGATGTACAGTGTGATCTTTTCTTGATATATTCCTGTGGTTTCTGCTACCTGATAGGATGTATCACACAAATAGGTACAGCACAATACTAAAACATGATTCAAGCAGAGACCACTCCAGTGCCTGTGTCCCATTTTGAAGCATCTTCCTTGCCACAAGTGATAGCTGTCTTGTAGGTACTTCCCAAACCTATTAACTCATTTTGCACTATTAATCTAAGCTCATGCACATTCTTCTAATCTGATTCATGACTTCTAAGTAAAAGCAAACAAGGAATAGACAAAGCACATAAATGCCCACCTTCTTTAGTACCATAACAGCACTATTCCTCCTCTATGCAATACTGGTATTTCCAGAATCTTTATACTTTTCAATCTTTATGTTCCATTAATGAACATCACTGTGAGGGGAAACTTCATGATTCCATTAAGCCCTCAAACTTTCAGATCCTATCTCATAAATCTTTATCCTCTCTGACATTATTTTTTTCCTTCTTCTGGTGATGCCTGGTGTCTCACCAACACCCAGGCAGCACTGCAGCAAATACTGCACTCAGAAAGCAAAGGACAGCTTACTCTAAAATGCAAAGTGAACTAACTGGGGTTCACTGAAGGAATCTGCACTAGATTCTTGTATTTCCATGTAGATTGAGGTGGAAAAGGAACTTCAGGTGGCTTTACACAGTTGCATCTTTGTTTGCCAATTTGTTTTCCCTCCTGCCTGACTGACCTTCAGACCTTGCTAAATCTGCCATTTTCCTGTTTCCAACAGAACTGATGTTTGGACAATGGGAAAAGAAACAGGAAGAGCTTAGAGATGAGCGAGACCCAGAATTTGCACCACCTTCTGATTACTTTTTGGGACAAAAGAAAGATGATTATCTCCGAAGTCGGAATTTGAACAGTTCTGAAACCTCCTCTGAAAAACTGGAAACAGAGAGAGCACAAAACCCACAGAGGCCATCGGTGCCAGGGGGCAGTGGCAGCAGCACTGGAGATGTGCCACCATCACCACAGCCTTCCAACAGCAGCGTTCCAGTTCGGCCAGGCTCAGCAGAGCCCAGTGGCCGTGACACTCAGGGCGTGTCATCAGCAGAGGATGACAGCAGCGATGACGAGGACGTGCCACCACCAGCACAGGCTTACGGCTTCAGTGCCCGAGGTGTGCCACCCCCACTGCGGGGTTACGGCTACAGCGCCCGGGCTGTGCCACCCCCCATGCCAGCCTACGGCTATGGCACTGCCCAGGTGCCCTTCCCAGTGCAGGCCTATGGCTATGGAGCACCAGCAATGGTGCCACCAATGCATGGGTACGGCTATGGCACTCCCGAGGTGCCCTTTGCAATGCAGGCCTATGGCTATGGCACCCAGGGTGTGCCCCCAGGAATGCAGACCTGCAGCTGCAGTGCCCAGGGTGTGCCCCCAGGAATGCAGACCTGCAGCTGCAGTGCCCAGGATGTGCCACCAGGAATGCAGACCTGCAGCTGCATTGCCCAGGATGTGCCACCAGGAACACAGGTCTGTGACCTCAGCAGCCAGGATGTGCCACCAGGAATACACACTTGTGGATGCAGCAGCCAGGATGTGCCACCAGGAACACACACCTGTGACTGCAGCAGCCAAGAGATGCCACCAGGAACAGACACCTGTGACAGCAGCACCCAGGATGTGCCACCAGGAACGGAGGACAGTGGCTGCAGCACTCAGGATATGGCACCTCCAGCTCAGACTGACAGCGGTGACACTCCAAATCAGGAACCACTTTACCAAAGTTTAGATGATATGCTCTCTTATTACAGACAAGTGACTTGAGCTGAGCAAAAAGATAAACAAGAACCATGATCTAAAGAACTGGAATATAATTATGTGCTCAGCAGAATATTATTTTCCCACATATGGGAAAAAAAAGTTTCTGTAAGTACATCAGAATAAATCTCCTGGACACCTAAGCTGTTTAACATCACAGCTGTATTTTGCCCTGTTGGTTTTTTTATTCTTCCCTCTTTACTAAAATTCAACTCTTTGACACTTGGGCCTGAACTTAAGGGTATATTAATTACTTGTTAGCAAGAAATAAACTCATTTAGTTGGTTGCTCCCAGCTGGCTTCTGGTTTGGAGGTGCTACAAGTTCAGTGACATCCATAGAAACAGTATGGAAATGGTAGGTCCTCTGCTGTCAAACACACAATGATTTTGTTCCTCACTTAATCTCTTCTCTTTAAGGAAGTGCAGAATATTATCTAGTGAACAGTGGTGGTTCACCTGGCCTCTGCATTCCTGAAATCTATATGTAGCTCATAATTCTATGCAGCATTTTAGAGTGGAGACATTGCAGAAACCAGTAAGTAATGATGGGTAGGCTGAAAATAAACAAAACACTGAAGCAGAAGCTTTGACACCTGAAATTCTTACTGGTTTAGAAGATCCTCTCATAATTCTCCAAGTGTGTTTTTCTTGCATAAGGAGTTACATATATGGCTTTATTTAATACTTTTTTTCCAAAAACTGTGATACTGGAGTCATTAAATATAAAAGCAGACCAATCTCTACCAAACTAACTTTTATTTCAGAATCTTAGTAAATGAGAATACTTACTTGCCATGTAGAAGATTGTTATTTCTGAAGGTAATTTAGATCACTTGTATTTTAAAAGCCTGATACAAGGATAAGACCTAGCAAAATAGGTTAGAATGGGCAATTGCATAGATTGTTAAATGGCAGAGATAAAATAGTGAACATTTAAATGCAACAGTGAACTGGCCAAAGAGACAAAACTGATTTGCTCCTCTTGTGTGCTTCAGTCAGATCTCAGGCTGCTCTGCAAGCCTGGTGAACAGCAAGATGTTCAGTGTGACTGAAGAATATGCAGAACATATTCTGTCCTCAAATTCTACTTTAGCCTCAGCTCCTACATCACTGCCTTTTGCACTGGAATTTGCGGAGCAGGAACAGTACATTACAATTATGTATTCATTTAACCTCAGAATACGATTCTGAAGTAATATAATACCACTATCCCAATTTTGAAGAAAATGAGGATGGAAAATGTCTTAGAGAAGGTCACACCCAGTTTTCCAGGCTGGCTGATTTACACTAAGGAAGTTTCCTCTTCTAAGACCTCACAGAATCAGTATCTGGAAGCCATTCAGAGCAGGGTATAATTTCCTTGGAGCTCCACTAACTCTAAAGAGTGGGCAAAGTCTTTTCAAGCACTAGAGCTTGACTTGAATTGATTATGGCAATTGTATCCTTCAATAGATTTCCCTACAAAGAATATTTGTGTCTATTTGCTGCTATTTTAATTGACATCCATTTCCAGCTGCCTTTTGGACTTTGTTTTTTCTGTGCCCTTCAGACTGTGATAATTTTATGTGTATCTATGATTTAGGAGTTATATTGTCTTTGCATTAGTTTAACATTGAGCTGGAGCTGCAGTAAGGAATGAAATGCCATTTATTACATAGTGTTATGTAAAAAGATACAATCAAAGTGTTCCTTTGTTTAGTTTCATTTCCACAGCCTAATATTAAGCAGGAGGGCTCTTGGCCAGGAGGGCGGTTCAGAGCCTACATTAAAGTTAAGCCTGTTGAGAACAGCTCTCACTGCAGTGATCTGTCACTTTGCCATTTGGTCTCCTTCCCTCTTCTCTTGCTTTTTTGTTGAAATGTTTTTTGCATATTGTCTCATGCTGTGGAGCACACATTTCTGTTCACTGTCCTCCCCTCAGACCACCTCAAGTTAGCTTGGCTGGGATCAGCAACCTCATTCATTTCATTCAGTAATTCCTGGGGCAAACAATTCCTTATTGATTCACTGCCAAAGTTTTATTTCTCCCATGTTTTGGAGCATGCTATCTCCCTTTCTCGTTTAAACCACCCCCCAGGTTGCACACCAGTGGGAATGGGGGTGAGGGGGGCAGTGTGGGCAGGGATCTGCCACCACCAGTGTGTGACTGATGAGGGTGAAGTTAAACCAGCTTGTGCTCTCACTGAGTGTGCACAACTGTGAGCACACTGTCTCTGGTTGTGTTTCATGGGTTGGGGCTCTGCCCCAGGAGCTACCAGTGCTGCCTTGTGTTGCCTTCAGTGTTCTGCACAGAGCCAGGAGCAGCCCCTGCTCTATGTCTAAGGCAGCTTTGTCCTACATTTTTGTGTGAATAGCTTTCTGTTACCAAAGGTACTCTTACCCAAAATGCAAGAATGATGCAGTCTTGAATTTCAGCCTTCACACGCTCTATCTGGCTGGCAGGACTCAATATGATGTCCAGAAAAGTACTTTCAGAAATTACAATTTCCTTATTATCACCAAGGGCTGATTTATCCCCTTTTGGAGGACAGCAGGGCTCTGATGTTCCTATGAACCACCGGCACGTGAGATGAGGCTTATACCCGGGGTACAAACTACATGCCCGCAGCTGTGTGAGCTCAGGGCCGATGCCGCAGGGCTCGCCGGCTCCCGGGGGCTCGGGCAGCGGGGGAGCACAAGGCGAGGCCTCACGGCCGGAGCCTCCCGTGCCGCGCGGGAGCGCCCCGGGGCCGCGCTGAGGGAGCGCCCGCCGCGGGAAGCGCTGCGCATGCGCAGAGAGGCGGGCACGGCCCGCGCCCCGCCATTCCCGCGGCCGCCGCGCGGGGGCGGCAGAGCCCAAGGAAGGGCGGGACCCTCGCGCGCGGCCCCGCCCGGTCCCGACCCCGACCCTGGTCCCGGTCCCGGTCCCGGTGCCGCCCCGTGGCAGGGGCGCTGCCGGGGGCCCTCGGCACGGCTGATGGCACCGTAAGGCCTGCGCCTCCCGCTCCCAGGTGTCCAGGGCACCCCCCTTCCCACCCTGCTGAAACGGAGCCTCGCGTTTCAGAAGGAAGGAGGAAACGCCTCTAGTCCTTTAAAAATGTCTTTTTAACAAGGAAACCCTCTTAGTAGCACGCTGTGCAGTGAACACCCAACACCTGCTGTCTCTTCCTTAGGAGCCCAGACTGTGCAGGCCCAGATTTCCCATGTAACTCCCCCGTGCCACTGCAGCCCAAGAGTCTCGCTGTTCTCAGAAGCCATTCCCTCCCTGCAGCCATCAGCTGCCTTGCCTGACAGCAGGAACACTCTCTGTATCACCATTTCTCTTCAGTAAGGCCTTTGAATTGATTCTTGCCCCTGTGACTCCCACCTTGGGAACAGCACATTACTTCCTTCAAGTCTCCATAACCAATGTTCAGTCAGTGCCATTCATTTCGTGAATTCAGTTCCTGCTCCCCTCCCTTCTCCACCCCAAAGGCATCCCACGAGTGTGACAGACCTGTGATGTCGAGATGTGGCTCAGGAAAACGGTGCAGTGACAATTTGTAGGACAAAGGCGAGTGTATGTTCAGCAGGCAGTGGGCCTACGGGGCACTGCAGTGCTCCCAAGTAGGAACACAGGAAGGAGTTGTTTTGGAGTGGCTGCCCCAAGGTGCTGGTGATGGAAGTACAACCCAACTTTTGTTTAAAGAAAACTTAGAGCTCTTGGGAGAGCACACCCTGCTATAGCCACATCTCAGACAACTGCAGCTAAACATAAGCCTGCAGAATAAAACTGCAGATTTTAACACTCAGGCCCTGACTCCACAGTGAAAAGAGAGGAGAAGTTGAAATTTATTCTCACAAATTACTAACAAATGACCAGAGGCGCTCAGGCTGCACAAGGACACACACGGTCTTCAGTAAAAGTTTCATTTCTGGTATAAAACAGTAATGCCATTTTTAAACAAAACCTACAGGTAAAGAGAAAGTATCACATCTTAACAAAAAGGATTTATTGTGACTAAACAAAATGTACAATGTTTCCCAAATGACAGAATGTTTTCAAGACTCTCTGAAGTCTGCAGGTCCATTGGTTAACTTGATCACTTCACAGCCTGCAGTTTGATCAAGCTACTTTTTGCCAGACTTCTTTATTCCACCACTGGCTGCCAAAAGAAACAACACAGCTGGTTAGGTGACTGTGACAGAGCTTAGCTCCAAATGCAGTTCCTCATGAAGCTGAATCCCCCCATCAGACAGCCTGCACAGCCCTGGTTCCCACTGGTGAATTGTTTTTTATAATGAAGAAATTCATCCTCTCAGAGGACAAGCACTGGATCTTTTCAACTTGGAGGACTGTGGAAAAAGCCTACATGTAATACATCTGAAAAGAAAAGACTGGTGTGCTAAAAAAAAGGAGAAATGTCCCTGCACATACCAGGGTGCCAGACACAGTGATCTGCCTTGCTGAACCAGAACCTGCATCATCTGGGCATGAAAATGCACAGAAAAAAAATAGCCTCTGTTTGTTTCATATCATCTGTACCTGCCATCAACTTATTTATCTATGTCAAATAACCCAGAGGCACCTGCCTTTTTATGTTTTTCAAGCAAAACCATTAAATTTTTGAAGCCAGCAAGACCCCCAGTTCTCCTGCCAGGATGGCACCTCACTTACCCAGGGGCCCTTTTCCAGCAGCTTTTGCTTTCATCTCCTCAAGTTTCTTTTGCTCCTCCTTCTGTTTTTGTTTGAATGCCAGATCCGTCTGAAGGAAAGAACAGCAGCATTTTTTAACATCTCTTCCACAGAAAAATTCAAAAACAACTAAGAAGCAATGAAAAACAAATGTACTATTCCAGCAGCAACAAACACCTGACTGGACCGAGGCAGGATGGCAGAATAATGCGAAATATGCAGAATATTGCAAAAGTATCACAAAGACCACAAACTGGACTTTAACTCTGTATGTTTGGTCTTTCTGGAATTATTTTTCATTCTGAAATTATGATTCCTCTGGCTGATAGATGTTTGCACTAACACCATTCATG